ACAAGATACAAAAATATCCAGATATCACAAGTAGCGGTACAATTCTTATCTGGCTGCTCTTCCGTAGGGAGAAGTTACCCGCTTAAGCGTATGTGCTTACCAAAAAAAAAATCTTTATTATATTTAATTGAATAGGGCGACGGAGAAGGAGGACGATCCATTTTCGATGTTTGTCAGATAATATTAGTCGTTAATTGATTTGTAATTGGCGGAATGAATAATTTTTATATTCCAAATATTATACAATTATTAATAAAGAAAATTAACTTATAAAGGTTTTAAGCATTAATTTATTCAATATCTATCTATTAAAAACATGTTATGTTTACAAAAAAACTTTAATAAATATTAAAAAGTTTTGAATAAATAAAATCGTACTGTCATAACTATATAATTTATTAAATTATTAATTTCCCCGAAAAACTTATTCTTATAAAATCAAATTACAAAGACATGGTTTTTAATAAAGGTAATTGATCTTATAATTCAACATTCTCCATCCCTTCATTATGATGATGATGTCCAGGACCACCGAATCCTGCCCCTGAATGAATCGAGTGAATTCGATGTTGTTGTTCAATAAAGAAAGTCGCAGATTGCGTACGAGGTCGAACAAGAACTTGTTCAGCATTGTTTAAATAAATAGTTTCAGAAAATGTATGTGAATCAAGGATAGTAACTCTTAAAAGAGGAACAAGAAGGTGCCCGGTTTTCAAGGGTACAAGTGTAATAGGAAATTCATTCGTTTCTCCAGCCTAAATTGTCAATTACGTGAGAGTTTATATCTTTTTTTTAGGAAAAAAAATCATTGGATATAAGTTGTTGTCCCACCTTTGAAGAAAAGCATAATTTTTTATGTCCTGCCAATAGCCAATTGTCAAAATCAACATGAACATCATAATAAAATTCCAAAATATCCGTAGATGTTATAATTCCAATATAATGAATGTCGAACTATACTATCTGACGACAATGGCATGGCTCCCCGGGTCAATTCATGTAATAATCTTAAACTTGATTTGGTTATCTTATTTCTTAATTTCTTGTAAATAAGCATGAATGCTATTATTTTAACATTAAAATCGAGCACGAGACATAGAAAATCATCTTTGATTTCATAATAGAAACCGAATCTTTTAAAAAGGTGTAATCATTTTATTGTAAATTAGTTTTACTAATATCATTTTTCCAAAAATATATATAAATAATTACGATATATCATACAAATAAATATATTAAATAATCTATGATTTATATTACATCTTACTTTACAACAACTATTACAATACACTGGGTAACTTTAGTGTTTGTGGTGGTGAATAATTGAGATTGGCATGTTTGGAGTTTGATACAGGTGATAGAGGTGCCGATGATTCTTCAGTCGACGACATTTGATCATCATCAATACATGATGATTTTATCCATTTACCTTAAAAAATAAATAAATAGATAGTTAAATAAATAGATAAAAATATTGACAATTCCTACTTGTCATTTTGCTCACCTGGTACAGCCAGGAAATATTGGTCTATCGAATCTCTGAATCTATCTTTATATTGATCCGGTGGTAAAACAGTGACTTCTTTTGCATTTCTTCCAATGGTTTTACCTCTATTTTCAATTTTCTTATATAAGGTATATGCTCCAATAAAATCTACAATTCCTGCTATTAATTCTTTCTTTTCGCCATCAACTCCTACTAATAATGAATAATCCATAATATTGGAATCTGCTAAGAATTTTGTATCGTTGAGTATTGCTTCTCGAAGAATCTTCTTGGAATGTGAGTGTATTAACAAACGTGATTTATATCTTCCTTCAACCCAATCACCATCCCATAATGTCACATCTCCTTGTTGAGGTTGATCTCTTATATGACGTTCTTGAATTCCTTTCAAATCAAATTTCTATAAAAAAGAAAGTGGTTAAAATAAGCTTAAACTTCCACATTTATAAATTAAGTATAAAATGCTTACGCTTGTTATGGTTTTCTCAAAGAATAAATGTTCCATTACTAGAACATCCATTTTAATGATATTGCTATTCTTTTTTAAGTCCTTAATCTTTATTGTATAGAATCCAAAGATCTTTGCAAGAACTGATGGCGTCTTATTACAGAAAAAAATATATATAAAAGAGAAATTTTAGAGAATATAACATTCCATAATCAGGTTTATTTTGTACGTACGATAGGAGCCTTGTTCATATATTCAAAATACTTTGGTGCAAATTTCAATAAAGCTTCTTTTTCTCCGATTCTCCATGATGATACCATCTGTTTTATAATAAGTCTATCGTCTATATAATATAAAACATATTAAGTTAGAGATCCTATATATAAAATCTTAATAGTATAATATTACCTTGCGTTTTGAAGAAATTGCTTGAACTTTTGCCACCTGTAACTTTCCAGGAAGAACATCGAGAAAGAGAGTCGATGGATAAATTTTCAATTCCACATCGACGTCGAAGTGAATCAAATTCTGTGGCATAATACACTGTACACGAAAATTTTTTCGTTCCATGCGTAAACTCTACAAAAAAATGTAAGAAATTAAAATATAGACAAAAAAAAAAAAGGAAGAGAGTTTTAGTTAAACTCACGATATTTTAAATGTGGAGTTTCTTTTTCCTTTGGAGTTTTCCGACCCCATGAAAATGTTGACTCATCCTTTTTTTTTGGTAAATCCTTTTCATTTACATCTTGTTTTTCATTTGATTCATTTGATAATTTCTCGGTACCAACAACGGATTCTGGTTTCTGCTCCTCCTTGATATGCTGTGCTTTTTCATTGAAAATCTCATCTTTAGCTTTCTCGGAATCTTCATTCTTTTGTCCAAAAATTCCACCAAATTTTCCATTTTTAGTAGTAGTTTGTTTTTCAGCTTCTTTTTCGGGATCTTTTTTCTTTTCCTTACTACTAAGAGATAAATTAAATGATCCAAGATCAAATCCATGAGGGATTGTATAAGTATTATCTTTAACATGTTTACGTCGAATAGTGGAACTATACTGGTCTAAAGATTGAAGTCCATTGGATCCTTCTGAATCTGTCGATAAATCTTTCTTTGACGTGAGATTCGATGTGGATGGACTTTTTAATGAAGTAATTAACGTTGAGAATGAGTTGGAAACTTGAGGTTGATGATATTCAGACATGGGGGTTACTGGAGCCGATTGTGTAAATGATAATCTAACATTTTGTCGCATAAGTGACGATTCTCTTAAATAATCCCTTGAACTATTTAAAATAAAACTTTAGTATATTTTAAAGAATCTTCCATTTATATAATTCATAAAATATTCACCTTAATGTAAATGCGATGATAGAACTAGGTTCATCTTCTCTAACTATGATAGGAGATCCAGGGAAAACATGGCAGTTACTTGAACTACATAGAAAAAAAAAACAGTTATTAGATCATCGATGAAACTATATTTAATAACAAGTTTTAATTATCTTACCTTGCATATTCCGGCTCAACCCATTCAATATTCGAAAATTTTTCTAAATTTTCTTCACGAACGTGAGCTTTTTGCCAATCCAACAATCGTTTTTTTGTTGAATGAATTTTCTCGACAAACAATTTCCGCACATCATTCAAAACAGTAGCCTTTGTTTCCTTAAGAATATCATAAAGTTCAAACTCGTCAACACGAAAATCTTTTGCCATATCATCCAACAATTTCAAATAACTTTGCTCTTCACTAGGATCAGCATCATTACCATTAACTTTGATGGCAATGTTTCCCTTGGAACTAGAGTCCGTTTCATTAGGAGACAAAGAGTCAAAGTATTCTTCTAATGCTGTTATATGTTGTTTAACGCCACCATAAAAATATGTGATTTCCAATCTTGTCTCATCAAATAATCTCATCTCATCCTCATTGCTAATAACAAAAAGTTTATCAATTTCTTCGGCTTCACCTAAAGTATGTATTATCGGAGTCTCTCCTTGACTAATTTGCAATTTCGGCAAACGCATTTCAAATAAGTCAACGTGTTCACATCCAATTTTCACGACCAAATCTCCTCGGCGAAAACATCTGACCAAAGAATCAAAATGCGAACATAAAGTTTTAGGGGTAAAATCTTCATTGTAAATTAGATTTTCGAGATATTTTCCAAATGAATAAAGATAAGTCGCACGTGACATTTGCACGATTGGAGTTTTCATGGAACACGGTTCACATTGTGTCCACATTAAAATGCTATCGGATAAGGGTTTTAACTTTTGATCTGGTAATTCTTCAATCGTTATACTGATCCTCCCTGTATTGTGAGTATACGTGCTAATATGATCGAGTCCAGGATGATCGCATGATGCATCTTCACAAATTTCATGAGCTTGATCGCATAATAGATTAATAATTTCTCCAAGGCATCTATCGGGGTGATCACAATTCTTGTTATAATATTCCATTGTGGTTATTTCATGATTATGACATGGCGATATCGAAGTCGGTGACCAAAACCTTGCGAAAGAACATGATAATGCCTGATGTTTGAATACACAATTCAATGAATTATTATTTGTCATGAGATATGTAAGTCCCGATCGGAAATCCTGCGAAACCTGACTCGACCCAGTAATCGCTGCATAAGTACGATATTTTCCAGTAGAATTTTTCGTGGAAGCCGCCCCATTTCCATTTGAGAAGTCATTAGCTAAATCCAAAGCATCTTTTACAGCAAATGACTTAAACGTACCATCTTCGTTTGTATGAAGACGGATCTCTGTTTCTTCATCTCTTAAACGCATTAAAACATGCGGAGGAGGAAATTTCACTCCCGGAGATGATGAAAGTATAGTATTTTCCATTTGATGAATTGCCTTTGCAAATTTGTTTTTAGCTAAAATTGACATATCCATCTCTTCCTCAGTATTTATCGTCGCTCCAGTCGAATTATTTGATGATTTTGAAATCTGATTTCTTTTGAATGAAGATTTCCTCATCAAGGATCCATGCTTTTCATGAGATTTGTTTACATGATCTCTAATATTTGACATGTTATTATGTTTCATCAGCCATCCAAGCCATGAAGATTTTGAAGTACGTCTGGAATTTCTTAATCTATTCTGAATATCCTCAGCGCCTTGACCATCTTTTGTATCATCTCTTGAAATGAAATGATCCCTAAATAAACACACCTCAAGTCTCAAATTACACACAACATAAACCATTAATTCTAAAATTTTATCCACCGAATTAACATAATCCTTTTCTCCCTTTAGTATTATCGTTCCACCGATCCAATGTTTCATTTCATGCTTAGTAAATTCCAAACCTTTTTTTTTTTTTTTTTTGAAAAGAAATTTTATAAATATTATATATCAAAATGATGAAAAATGAAAAGGATTGTTTTAACATGATTTATATTTTTAGAATTACCTTCATCATTTTCACGTTTAAATAGAAGTTCGCCGTCAAAATAATTATAAACAAAATGTGAATCCGTAGGTTTCCCACCATCTTTTTTTAAAGTTATTACAAATTTTGATTCATCTTTAAATTTATTTTGAATTTTTTCTGAAGTTAAATTTTCATCATTCTCCTTTTCTTCTTGTTTATTATTATCATTGTTTCTTTTCTTTTTCGAGGAAATGACATCACGTTTTTTCATTTCATGTTGATAAATTGCTTCTATAGCTTTTGGAACTGTTTCGGCGATATCGAGTATAATTCCCCAGATAACAGTTTCCCAAGGATTGGTATCAAGGGCACAATTATGTAGGCTTTGTTTTAAAATATTACGTAAATGACCTAATGAAATACTATCTAATGATACATCGCTTGAACCTTGTATTGGGGTAAATGAAGTTGATGGTAAAGATATTGTAGACTTTAAATTTGAAATTGACCTTCCCGTCGGTAAAGCAGGCAATGGTTTACGTGAAGGATTTCTGATGTTTATTAGGTTTTCCGCAGACATGTTCAAAAGGTTCAAATTTTACAATAAATAGTAATTATTTGGAAAATAAAAACTATCTTTTGTTTATATATATAAAAATGTTACATGTTGCAATACAGCAAAGAAGATCATGGCAGATCAAATGGGGGACATTTACAGGGTCTTATGACTAGAATTCCGACATTTTTATTTTGTCGTTGTGACATGGTAAAAAGGATTAAAACGAACGAATTCGTTAATGGCGCAGCATGAGAGATTTATTTATAAGAAAAGTCGTAAAACATTAATTGGTAAGGGTAGCTCGTTTGTCAACAACTGGAATTCTTTTTTGATCGCTTATATTTGATGGTTCCTCCTTGTATGTATTCAACAGGTCGATTCATTCCATGTTGTTTCAAACTACCGAAAATATACGTTCTAAATTCGCCTTTTAATTGATTTGATAAAAATGTGTAATATATTGATTTAACTTATTACTTACTATAATCCGCAAGCATTACAAAGCAATTTCCCTTGATTATCCCTTCGCCATGCTGGAGACTTGGAGGTGTTACAATTTACACAGACATTTCTTGCTGATATATTTGGATTCATTAAAATTTCAAGAACTTGTGGATGATAATTGACTGCAGCAGCGATCCTATCTTCGAGCTTCCATTGTTCTATGAGCCTTTTTTTTAAAAAAAAATAAATAAATAAATAAATCAAATAAAAATTCACTTATGGAATTTAATTTCCAAAGTTGATTTTGGTTCACTTACGAAACCGCTTTATCAATAGGTATTAAACCTGCGATAACAAAATCTGCTAATGTTAGATCAAACATCCACTCTTCACATAAAATTTCTTGTCCGTCGCTTAAGGTTATTTTCATTGGATAATCTGTTCGGTCGTTTGACATTGCGAATTCGGTAGTATCCTGCGGCATGTTTGGTCGTCAGCAGTGAACAACCTTTGAGTTTTATATCTTTAAAAGAAAAAAAAATAAATAAAAAAATAAGGAAATTCGTGCGTTATTTTGAAATAAATTTGGCAATTATCATTAAATTCTTCCTTGAAAGTAAGTACAAGACCACTTTAAATAAGGATAAACTCTTTTCTCATTATCAGGGGGTTCTCGATAAAAAAAAAAAAAACATTAGCTTTGATTGGGAAAAAAATTGCTTATATGGTAAAAAATTTATTTTTTTCTAATTATTTCGTACAAAGTGAATTGTTTACGTTTCATTTAATCAGTCATAAAGGTATCTATCCAATTATATTTGCAACTATAATAATGATAATAATAATAATAATAATTTAATAAAAATAATCGAATCAAATGAATTTGTTTTACTATTGTTATATAGCGATTGAAGTCCAAGACAAGCAAAACTTGAAGGGATAAAATATGTACCGTATAGTCTTAAATTCCTTTACATCTTCTTTTGAAGCACTTTTATAGCCTTTCGTTTGTTTGCAAGAAAAAAGCGCAATAGATAAAGTCAATTTATTTGTATATCTCGCTTTTAAATTTTAAATAAAGTACCTTTGTTTGCTATAAATGACAAACTTATTAAAAACGAATGGGTGCATTGTTTGGTACATATTTAGTAAAACGCCTACAATTAAACCTATACATTCCTTATCAAACCTCACATTTCTGATCATGCCCAGGTGAGATAGCGAAGTAAGATATTTCGAACACCATTGATATCCCGATCACTTTGGATCCACCCAATTTTCGATGGATATGACCACAGCACCCACATGTCTTACTGGTATATTCTTCAGTACATACAATTACCTGACATCATGGATGCTCACGAACCAACCTTATGTAGAAGATATTGGCGGAATCGGAAGTGGGACCATGTTAACATCATCCGTGCAGTCTTAGAACGAATCCGCCGTTTTCCACGCATAACCATTCCCTGTGTCTTAAACTCGGGCAACAAAATAATACGATAATTTTGACAGAGCCATTTAGCAAGTTTATGGTGGAAATAATTAATAAGACAACGGATTTTTTTATGTATACGAAGCATGACCTTGAGAAGCTTGTATCGTTTTCGTTTGTGTACTTTCCATGAATAGAGTCATGCTTGCTTTGGATTTTGTCATACGTCTGGGAAAGCCGATAAATTCTATTAATATCATTTTTTTCCCCATTCAATAGCTTTTCCACTTGGATCATAACCAGTCATGAATGTACGCACTCCCTGGGTCCAGAGCAATTACTCCTCCCTATTAAATTATTTATTAAATGATTAAATTAATTTTATTAGAAAATATACGCAATTTTTTGTATCGTACGTCATAAAGTTTACGAAATATGGCGTCATCCTTACATAATTTTTTTCTAGTCTAAAAAGTCTAATTAAGTCATAAAAATTCGTGGTTTCTAGACGAAATCACACTTACGATTTTTATCATTTTTATATATACTTTGGTAACCATCCATATAAAATCACGGTATGACGTGGTGAATTGAACCACAAAAGTCGAAATATTTTTATTGAGATTGGAATATGGATAAAACAATAAAAATTAATGAAAGCTTTAGGTATTAATATGTTAGTAACAATCACCATTCATTTTTTACTTAGCCGTTCCTCCTTTCACAATTACATAATAATAAAGGTTGAATTTACTTGTTTTCAATATTTTAAAAATACAAATACATAGTTCTACTTTTGTCAAATTAATTAGTTAAGAAAGTAAAGTAATTTGCACTGAAATAAACGATAACAAATTTTAACGAAAATGAACTATCACCCCATTAAATTGCTACGTCTCTTGGATTCTGTTTGCAATTTGGTAAGTATTCTAGCCAGATTGTAAAAAGGTAGTTTTGTTAAAAAGGGATTTTTGTTTAGGAATGTGAGCTACTGATAGAGATGTTTTTATTTAAAATTACTTTTCCTTATACTTGATATAAAATGCGGAAATCTACACAAAGCTTGTAATACGAAAAGTGTGGTTTATTCGGGAATGTTCAAAATTAGTAAAACGGTGATCCATAAAGAAAGAGGTTGAGTCTAGAATGTACGATTACTTTCTAATAAATACTCCCAATAAAAGTTTCTTGTCGCGAATATCATGAAAAATTCTTTTTGAATTGACCCGAGTTCCTCAATCCGGTCTCTGTGCGTCCGGCACACGAGACATGGTCAATGCGGAACCAATAGCAAACCTTCATGCTGCGGGTAGACGCAGTAAATAAATCAAAAACACGGAATCTCCAATTTACCAGTATGCAAAATGCGAGATTTTATTAAGCTTAATTAAAAACAAGAACATGATGTCGTCACACCGCGTGACCGACAGTTCGGTAAAGTTCATTGAATGGTGATTGTTAATTTTATTCAGGCAAATAATCGTTCTTTTTTTATATTTCATACAGGAAAAAAATGGGAAAGAGATAATTATGAGGAACCAAAAATAGTAATCATCACGGTGATAACTTGATGTCTTCACATGTGCCAATTGCAGAGTTATTACTCTATTTATCATTGATGAACAGATTACATGCCTTTCGAAACCTACAATGATTCATTTTATATTGTTTTAACATGAAATAGTTTCAAAAATAAACCTCTTTTTTTTTTTTTTTACATTTCAAGACTTTTTAGTAAAAAGAAAAAAATTTTTTTTTTTTTTTGTATACTCCGTACGCTTTTCCTTCGGGGAATAATAATATCCAAGGACTCCGCATACCCCGACTTCTTAAATAGGAAAACAAGTAGTCAATTCAACAATATTCGAACTGTAATACAAAAGAAATTTAAATCTCTTCCGTGTTTTTTTACAGTAAACAAAAGTCTTTATGCGAGCATAATATAATATTTTAATTTATATTTCAAAAAAAAAATTAACAGTTGGACTTTGAAAGTTCGGAAGTTCGGTACCTTGTACTTTTTATAAGCTGCAAAGAAATTCGTCTTTCAAAATGACTTTGGAAACTGTATATGCCATTTATCCATTTGAAGCTGAACATGATGACGAGGTTCCTTTTCAAATGGGGGAACCAATTGCAGTATTGGAAAAAGATGATTTGTATCGGGATGGCTGGTGGAGGGTAAAGATTACTACTTCATTATCTTATTTTCAGTTATTTTATTTGTTATCACGTGATATTCAATTCATTTTTTTTATTAATATTATTGCGATAGGGAAAAAATATTTATGGGCAAATTGGACTTTTCCCAAAGGATTATACAACGTACGAGAAACCAATTCCAAAAAATGTATCATTGACTCCTGTAAGTAATGATAGCATTAAAACAAGTTCACATCAATTGTCGCCAATATCGGCTATTAATATGCGTGGATCAGAATTGGATTTGTCTTCGGCATCTTTGAGGATGCCAAGCCCATCTATTGATGAGACAATAGATGATATACAGGATAAATTACAAAGGATGGGAGTTAGAACTGAGGAAGAAGAAATTTATCAGTATAAGTTAAATCAACAAAATCTATGGTCGCCAAAAAACGGACATTCTAGTAAATTTCCCATGACATCATCATCGGAGTCTAGCACTACAAGTAGTCGGATTTCATCATTAGAGAGACAACATAGTTCTCCGTCACGATTTGAGTCAGTAGGTAATACGAAGAAAGTTGAAAGATCTTCTGAGAGACAAGTAGGTGGACATCCAATGTCCTGGGACGTGGATCAAGTATGCATGTGGTTAACAGAGAAGGGATTCGAATCGGAAATACATCATTTTATCGGTGAGTCAAAAAACATCATTTTATTCTTTTGCTGATTACTTTAGACTCAACAATTCTATTTTTTAAATTACAGAGAATGACATCACAGGTGATGTGCTTCTTGGGTTGAGCTTATCAACATTAAAAGAGTTGGATATAAACTCATTCGGTAAACGCGTTCGCATAATGAATATTATTACCGAACTTAAATCTCATTATAGCGAAAACGATGATGTATCAGACTTTGAAGAATTTAATCAACATCCCACAACATTTTATCCCGACTCGTCGTTATCCCCGCAGAATGGGGTATATTCTAACCAAGCCATGAATTCAAGTGGAAGTTTATTTAATAATTATGGCATCATACCAAATAATTTGTCGCACATTGATGATCTGGTTGCCTTTCCTAAGCAATTAATGGATGCTCAAAGAAATTCTTCTGTCACAAAGAATGTTCCGCCTACGTATTATACGTACTCTCGGCGAGTTGGTGATGCGGAAGGTTCAAACATCGAGGTGTGACATTTATAATTTATTCTATCTGATTTTACTATTTGGAATTTCCATTTTTAAAAAAAAAATTATTTTAATTGTTTATCTGTTTAAGACGGTTATAAAATCACCAAATAAGAAAAGCGGTAAATTTTTATCAAAATTGAATTTTTCGAAAAATAAGGATAGGAATAGTATGAATAATACGAGTAAAAAAGAGAAAGCACGAACGAGCACTGGAGGAGGCGGCTGGGAATTCAAGAAAGTAAGGATTTATTTTTAATATTGTATCGTTATAAGGAATTTTTAATAACTTATTATTTTCACTCTTTAGTGCAATGAAGAGTATATGAAAGACAAAATAATGAAAAGTAAATCAGCCGAGGAGGAGTCTGCGTCATCACCAGAGATGGAGAAGCACCGATTAAAGTTCATGTCCAATAAAAAAAATAAACCTGTCTTGGTAACTAAATATTAAAAATAATTTTCTATTTTAATATGGAATGGTCTCTTATCATTTGTTATTTTTAGGATCGAGGTAGCTTGGTCGGAAATCAATTAGGTCTCCCTAAACAATCATTAGAGTGATTATTAAGATTCATACATCATTCTATATATTTACCTATAATTCTTTTGCTAATAAGTTAATCTTAATTAATTATTAGGGTGAATTCCAATTCAACATTACATGATCGTAAAAATATTAATTATTCCTTGGAGAACATTGATGATAATGAAAATTTGAGCGAGGAAGCGGTTGAATCAATTGGAGAACCAGATCATGAAGGATGGTTGAAGAAACAAGGAGATAAATATAAGACATGGAATTCACGTTATTGTATATTAAAAGGGATTAATTTTTATTACTTTAAGAATGATAAGGTAATGAACATATTTATTTTTTTTTCTTAAAAAAAGAAAATGATATGCACATCATATTAAATACATATTGAAATATTTTATCAGGAACTCGAGATATCGAAGATGAAGGGATACATAAATTTAACCGGGTATCGTATAATTTCGGATGAGAATATATTACATGGAAAATATGGATTCAAGCTAATTCATGATACAGAGAAATCGCATTATTTCGCACATGATGACATGGAGGCATTGAAAGGTTGGATGAAAGCAATGATGAAAGCCACAATCGCAAGGGACAGCAAAGGTATTTTATAAAAGTAATTAAATTAATGATATTTTTAAATTTATATATTGATATATTTGATGATCATCATTATAGCTCCAGTTATTAGTTCAAGTAATATAGCAACGATTCCGCTTTCAGAAGCACGCAAAATGACACCACGTCCACCAGAACGGGGAAGACACAATGTTGGATCTGATGCGATAAATAAAATTTCGTCACCTATACCTCGGCCATCTTCACCTGTTTCGCCTATTTCACAAAGATCAGGATCACCGATACAATCAAGACCTTTAACACCTTCACTGCAACCATTTCAAAATTCTTCACCATTAATGAGACCATTCAATCATAGGTCAACGGTTGAATTCTTTTAATTAAATAAAAATCCTCTAATCATTACTTTAATTACTTGTAGATTATTTACATCTAATAGAAACATTTTTTTAAAAAATCTTATCCATACTTTTCAAGGAACATTAAATATTAATTTATAAAAGTATTATTGTTATGGACTCTTATTTTAGTATAGTATATTATTAATATTATTATTAATATTTTTTTTTATATTTTTTATTATATTTAAAGGGTCTAATTTTTTTTAATAGTAATAATGAATAATAATGAGAACATTTTAATAGATTTTTTTGTTGATCAAAGAGAAAAAAAAAAAAAAAAAGTTATCGACTATAATAAAAACGATAAAAAAAAGTTTAAGTAACGCGTCATGTGATGATGATGATCTCGCAAAAAAGATTTATCCGTTGATTATTTTTCCTATAAATATGAAACAATGGAAATTTCTCCCCAAAAAATCTCTCTTTTTAAATAAATTGAACCAATAGAACCGAAAAAAAAAAAAAAAAAAAAAAATTTTTTTTAAACTTTTGAGATAAATGAATTAAAAAAGAAATTCACACAAAACAAATACATCTCAAATGGCACATAAACACACCATTACTTCAACGTGGAAAACTCACCTTAAATCATACGTAATTTATATATCTATCTCAATTTTTTTTCTGAGATTAGATTATACATTATTAACCAATAAAAAGAAACACTATGGTTCTACTTATTGGTATACAAGCAAACGAAAAGGTATATCAACGGACAATGGACGATGTGGAAGTTGTAAAGTATTCAATAAAAATTTAAAGCAGAACTCCTCATTCGGTGATTCCATTAACGACTAGAAATGAACAAAGTTGCTGGAGTTGTTATTAGAACTCATGAAACTAATGAACAAACTCGTACTTTTTTGCTACATAAATAGATTTTTTAATTGAAATATTATGTAATAGTTTGTTCTCTTTCTCTTTATACTTATAATTCATTATGGGTAAAAATTAAAAAATATTTAGAGATTGTTGTAGTTATTTTAGTTTGCTTCTCTTAATACTTATAATTCATAGATTGCATCATGAGTGAAATGGAACACCCCCATGTGGAAAATTGGTTCTAAAGGATGTGTAGAAAAGTTGGGATGGATTTGTACATATTTTTTTTTCCCCTATTCATAATAAAAAAAGAAGATAATATTTTTTCAGTAACATATTTGACTAAAAATGTAAATAAACTGAATTTAGTTTAGTATATTGTAGATGATACGTGCTTTATAGATACCCATCAAAAGATGTTGTAATTATAGTAAACTAGTACGATTATATAAAAAATTTTAAATATTTTTCTTAGTATTTGTTGTTTATCAAAACGTAATAAAAAAAAATATATATACATTATAGTATCGTATGTTGCTCAGTAACCATAATCAAATTTTTTTTTCTTCCCGAATTAAAATAAGAATATTTTTTTACATCCAACCAAAATAAATGCTTAGTCATTATGCGCTCTATGCGAAATCACGTTAAATCATGCGTATATAACAATAAATAAATCACACCATAAAAATTTTATCCCTCTTCTTTTCTTGAGTCTGTTTCCTTATATTTTTTCTTGTTAACATTAACGTCAAAAAAAGTTTATTTATCATCAAAGTTTTACTTATTATTTTAAAAGTTTATTATAACATTAAAATGCTTCAAGGTCATACTGACGTAATTCGGTGTTAATTATATGGAAGTGAGAATCAGATGATCGAAGGTAACACATCTTGAATCCGTAATGACTTTCTGTCTATCTTTCCAATAAAAGTTACGGAATATGAATTCCCTACGATTGTTTGTTTTAAAAACAAATCTCCCATCACGAATTAACCATTCTCTTTGAAAGTTCAAGTATAAATTCGACTTTTATGGATGATGGTAATAATCATCTCGATATAATCATTTTTGGGATAAATTTTTAATCAATCTTTTTTTAATTTTTTTAATATTATTTATACAGAAGATTTCTTTCTTTACGACATCGTCATCTCTGAAAAAGTATATTTCCACAAGTGAAACTTCATGATATCACGAATTATTACAATCAAATCGTATTTTAATTCCGATCAAAACTCATCGGGAATGTCAAAATGTTGAATTCAGACGGAAGGTAACACTAATTTGAAACAATGTGTGACACTATCACTTAGTTACCATGTGAATTACATTATTATTATTTTTTTTTTTCCTAATTATTTTTAGATCTTAAAAAAAAAAAAAAAAAATTATATATAAAATAACTGACATGGTTAATAACAAGTCATTCAAGATTAAAAATGGGTTTATTTAAATCAAAAAAAAAAAGGATCGATCTATAAGATCTGGAAAAAAAAAGATATAAAACTTGGGTATAACGAATCAAAAAATTTTTGATTCATTATATTACCTCTTTTTTACCTTTGCAAATTACAAAAGGCATCATAATTATTTATGACCTTATTCATTTTTCCAATTTAAGTTCTATTGACCTTTTCAACTTGGCTAAATGACTTAATCTTTTATTCATAGGCGTCGTAAACAAAAAACCCCTATTACGAGATGATATGCATGAAGTTTATATATCGTTTAAAGTCATCAAAATCTTTTTTTTTGAAATCAAAATAACTTCTGTGACAGACAATAGTAACCTTCAATGTGCGTTATATGCAAAGGAATGTATCCTTTAGGAAACTCAAGTACCTTTTTATTCAAAAAAAAAAAAAAAGTTGGAAGATCGATGCAACTCAAAGACTATACATCCGTTGTTTAAAGCTTTATTCACTCAAAGTGTATAAAGTAGGGTTGTCTTGATCACAGGTTACAATCAGATTATAAAAATGGCAAAGAATTTTTTTTTAAAAAAAAAAAAAGAAAAAAAAAAAAGAATAAATTAAAAATTTATTTAAACAAATCAAAATTTGTTGATTCAACTTAGCATATAAACAAAGTCGATTATTATTACAAATTACAATCAATCAGATTATTTCGAGGTAAATATATCTTTAAATTTGTAATTATTGAATTTCCGTTTTATGAATGATTGATTCGTAATTATTGACACATATATACTTTTTACATTAATAACGCGTTGGACAAAAGAATTATATGATTTTAAAAACGCCAAAAAATTCAATGTAAAATAAATAAATAAATTAATTAAACAACTTTATCAATGCAAATCAATATTTGGTTGAAGTGTTATTCACCTATTACAATTTGAGGTAAAAGAGCTTTCAAATTTGTAATGATTGAATTTCTGTTTATGATTAGTTTCGTAGTTATTGATGCATATAACTTATAATCAAAAGCTTATTTCCGACGACGGACACTATTAATGCGGGAAACAAAGGAAGTACGATTTAGAAAACCAGACACGTACATTTTAACATTCGATAAAATGTCAAGTAAAAAAAATATATATATTTATAAATTAAATTTATTTCAAAAAATAAGATTGATTACAATCAGACTCTTTAAGGTAAAGTGACTTCCAACTTTCAAAAATTATTTATTATAAATAAATCAAGTCAGACAATCAACGGACACACATTTCACAATGGATAATTCTAAAAATAATGATAACGATAAAAGTCAAAACGAAATTTCGCAAAATCGTTCAATAAACAACACAAATACCCTCGAGCGAATTGCTCGGCTAACAACACAAATTACAAACAAACCATTCGAAAATAATCTATTTAATGGTACAAACTTTAATAACCTTAATAATAACAACAATGTTGAATCATTAATTTTACCATCCGGGTGTTTTGAAACTTCGTCTTTTCCTTATAATGGTTTCACTTAAATCTGTTCTTCTTATTTAAACTCGATTTGAATGGTTTATTTTTTAAATGTAAAAAAAAAAAAAAAAAATAATAATTTTTGCGTAATAATGGATAATGTTAGTTTTTAAAATCCATTGTAAATCATTTTTGCCTTTAAAAATATTGGTTTGATTAATTTAATTTTGTTGAAAATATCGGTTGAATAACGATTGAACTTACTTATTCGCAACCGAGAATTATTTTTCTAGTTTATCAAGAAAAGAATTATTTTAAAAATCAAAATATTAATTGTCATTTCTTATTACTTGTATTCATTTGAAAGAGCCCTTTTAATAATTTCATTTTTAATAATTCGACAATTTAAATTAAATATTAAAAAAAATTATTTATCAGATATTATTTTAAATTTTATAATTTTAATACATCATTTAATAATTTTTTTAAATGTAAAATAATTCACGATGTAGGTGAATCCTTTATTTAATAAGTTCAACATTTTGATGTCTTATAAGATTTTACTTATTGACTTATTGTACAAAATATACTGTACTTATTTTTATTGCGCGAAAGATACTGTAATTATACCTTGGTATAGAGATCTGCATAAGTCTAAATTTTGAAGCCCGGCCCGGACTTAATTATAATTATTGGCGATGCGAAATTAAACAATTTAATCATTTTAATTTTATTTAACAAATTACAAAAATAACGATATGTATTTTTTAACAAATCTTTATTATAATAAATAAACAAAAAAGATTAATGAAGATCACTATGTAATACCAAAATGCTAATACTGTTTACAAACAATATGAAATTGATTTAACAACAATAAAATATTTTATTATACAATCAGTGGCGGCTAAATTTTAATTAAATAATGATTTTTAAAAAATCCGGGCCGGGCCCGGAAAATTCTAAACTTATTATTTGCCTGGTATAATATACCGAAATTCAATTATTACTTAAAAGAAAATTTATATATACTGTATGTAAATATTTTATTTCAAAAAAAAAAAATAAAATTCAATATAATAAAAGAAATATAAACAAAAAAAAAAAAAAAAAATTCTATTTATTGGTCACATTCATTTAAATTCAAATAATTATTAAATTTATAAAAAGATTTTCACAGTTTAAAGTACCTTTTTGAGACTTTAGGTAATCTAAATAAAAAAAAAATTATTTTTAGCTTCTAATTCTACTTCGTAAATGAATCAAAAGAATCAATTACTGTATAATTACTATATGCCAAGGATGGTCAACTAATAGAAAAAAGGTAACTGATTTTGTTATTAACAAAGTATACTACCAAATTATGTCTGTTTTAAGCAATACAATGCTTATAACTGTTATAAGAAATTCATAGTAAAAAGTTCAATTGAATTTCAATAACATTCTCAATTTAATAAAACTGAAATTACTACCTATTTTATCCTTTTTTAAAGCAATAAAAGAGATAACAAATCTTTCAAAGATTATATACTCTTAAAGTATACAAATCTTTATACATAAAAATAAAGATAAAGGAGAATGATTTGAAAAGAAAGAAAATTTACTTCTAACTTTTCAGAATAAATAGAGTAAAAAGTAAAGCAGAAAAAAAAAATATTTTTTATATTTTTTTTCATTATTAGAAGTGACCACAATAAGAGTAATATTTTGTATATTCATAAAATAAAGAAGAAATTAAAGTAAACTAAATATTTATTTATATAACAATATATTTAAAAGAATATATTATTTTTATTATTAATTAAATTGATCAAAATTATCTTAAAGTGTAATAGTTTCACAAAATCTTTATTAAATTTAAAGTAAAAGTAAAGCTAAAAAGTAAAACAAATTACAAATTTGAAAAAATATGAAAATTTCTATCTAAAATAAATCTAAATTAAAACTGACCTTACATTTTTCTAAAATCTATTTCCAATTTAAGCTAAATTTAACATTTTAATAATATAAAACAAGAAAAAGAATTTAACTATTACATTATTAAAATTTGAAAAGACTAATGATAAAAAAGAAGAAGTAAAATGACTAAAACTATACTCAGAGAAAATGATATTATCTATTATATTTTAAATATTAATATCATGAACTTTTTCAAAAGCTATATAAATAAAATAATATTTAATTCAAATAAGCTGCATTTATTCAAAAATAAAATGCATAAATATTAATAAAGTTACTAGTATAAGTTGATCAATTCTTATAAATATATACAAAATATTATAAGTTTTGAGAAATTAATTTTTTTATCAAGCTAAAATGAAAATTTAATTATAAGAAGAAGATACTATATTAGTAACTTAAAAGAATTCATATTAGTATGGCTATCTTTTGTTAATTCAAAAAAGTATATTTATAAATAAGTAATTATTATTGTCATTTGTATTCAAAATATAAGATATTTCTATATATAATTAAATATTTTTTCATTACATTTGTAATACATATATAATTATAAAGAAAGGTAAGTAAAAGAATATTAATTTTGAAGTATTTCAAGATTTAAAAGCATTTTTAATATACATTGTTATTTCTTTTTTCTAAAAGTAATAGCTTCATAAGAAATATGCATACTAACTATATTATTATTATAATAAAAAGCTGTAATAGTCTAATTTATAAAAAAGTTTATATATTTGTCAGTTATTTAAATTAGTGAATAATAATAGATTGCATAATTCTTTAATAAAATGATAGATGAAAATTGCAACTGATAAGTTGTTAAATAGATAAAAAAAAGTGATTCAAATATTAAAATTAAAATAAAGAGCTATAGTATTAAAATAATCTTAATCAATTAATTAACTTTATCATTAAATAGATTTCTTGAGTAAATTTTAATTTTGTATAGTTTAATATTAAGATAATGTGAATTTATTATGTTAAAAACATAAAATCAAAAGTAGAAATTATTAATTCTCAATAAAGATTATATTGATGATGATATCAGTCAAGAGTAATCTATATTTATTAAATTATTAGATAATCATTTAAGAATCTATTTTAATAGCTATATAACGGTTTGAAGAGTAATAATAAATGTTATAAAAATAGTAGCAAATTTAATAACTAAGAAAGAAGTAAAAAATGTGACAAAAAAAATTAAATATAAGGTTATTGAAGAATTCAGATGTATTTATAATTAAGCTAAATCTATTCTAATTAAAGAAAGACTAAAATTAAATAATAATTTATCTGTAAAAAATTCTAAATTAGAAGCAAAAAAAAATTATTATAAGAGTATTAATAATTTGAATAAGTGAAAAAAGTATAAATTTTTTTAAAAATGAAGAATAGAAAAAATTATAATAATTAAATAATATAGAAATATATAAGATATAAATATTATTTTATAAAGAAATGATATTATTTATGAATAGAATAAATCCTTATATTATTATACCTTACTAATATATATTTTTTTTAATTATAAAATTTTATTATTTATTAAATAATTAAAAACTAAAATATTTTTAATATTAATTATTTTTAATTACATTTTTAAAATTTAAAGTTTTTATATAAAAGTATAAATTATAATAGAATTAATTTTAAAATTGCTTATAATATTTGATAAAAATTTTTATAAATAAAGAAAAAATTCTAAAAAAATATATTTAGTTTATAAAGTAAAAAAATTTTTTGGTAGTTTTTTCCTTTTTACTATAAAATACCTATTAATATTATATTTTTCTAATTTAATAATTAGAGTTTTAAATAGATCAAGTTAGATTAGATACTCTATTTAATATAACCTAAAGTATCAGATTAGGTCAGATCATAGATTGAATTACAGGTTATATTAAAAAAATTAAAAAAAGTTTTTTGAAATAATTTAGTATCTGAGGATTCAAAATAAATATAATATAGCTTATTAAATTCATTTCTATATAATAAATTGAATAGTAGCTATTTTATCTCAAATAAATTAATATTAATAAAGTTAGCCTTATTTTATATTTATATATAAATATATAATATACGTTTTAAAATATTTATATAGTAAAATTAAATAAGCTATTTTTAGTAATTAGTAAGTTAAAATGAATCAAATATAATTCATTTAATTCATCTCTATATGAAGATTTAAATGGTAATTATTTTATCTCAAATAAATTAATATTGATAAAATTATTAAATTTTGAATTTTTTAATTAAAAAATTTAAGTCAGATTAGATCTAATATCTACCTAACTAAATTCAAACTTTCAGATTAACTCATTAGATTATTTGACTTATTAGATCAAATTTAGAGTTCTATTAATAATTTTTAATACTTATTTAGAATCTTATTTTTGTAATTAAATAAAAAATATATTTAAGTATCATTAATATTTTATAATTTTCTATTAAAATTATTGAACAAAACTTAGAGGTTTTATAAATCATTTAAATAGTAAAAAGTAAAATTTAATAAAATTATATTAAATCTTATAAAAAATTTACAAAACTTTAAAAAAGGTAAAAATATATTAAAGCTTATAAAAATATAAAACTATATTAAAAGCTTAATAAAAATTAGTAAAACTATAGTTTAGATATTTTGTTAAATCTAAATAAATTTAAATAAATAATCTTATTTTTTATAAAAAACTATTTGCTATTTTAATAGATTGTAAACTATTTTACTAAATTATTTTCTTTAAATTATATATTTATTTATTTTATAATAAATTTTAATTTAATATTTATAAAATTTATAATTAAGAATTAAGTATATTTTTATTTACAAATTTCTTTTATAATATATAATATATTGATTAATATATTTTTATTTTATTTTTAACTCAAATTTTAATAACTTTAAATATTTGTTTATTTATAAATAAGTATTTTTAATTTAAATAATAATTTTAATCATTGCATTTAAATAATTTGTAATTTAATACTCTTATTTTATTTTTTTTAATAATAATTTTAATTAATTATAGAATTAATTTATATAATTAAACTAATTTTTAGTTTTTAATACTATTTTTTTTTTGTATTTTTATTTTAGAATTTAATT